TATACATACATATATGTCGAAGAATTAAATTTGTTGCTACTACTACTTCTATTAGAAGTATCATATCGGGCCGCTTGAAAAACGACACTCTTTATTGTGTGCTCTGAGTATATTTATATATATATATATATATATATACATATAATAATGGAAATCCCCGAGTCTCAAATCACTCTCATATGTCTAGCTATACGATGACCGCCCTCACTACTCTCAAACATGCCTGAGTAGGATTTGAACCCGTGCCCTGAGGGGACTTACGACCTTCAAATAGACTGTTCTACCAACATATTACGATCTTTAGCATGTATATATATATATATATATATACTCTATACTATTCCTATTTCTATTTCTATTTTTTTTTTAACTAACATTCTTTTATCTCAATTTCTTAGAGTCGCTAAATAAATCAAATTTCACAATAAAGATTATCTTTTTTTTTAATGCATATAATAGCTTTAGAGTTTTGGAAGTAATTTATTAATAGTTTCAATTACTTATTTTGTAATAGTTAAATCAACGTGTTTAGTAAAGTACTGAATTTTATTCAGTATAATAATATGGAGGATAATCAAAGAAAGAAAATATAAGTGATTAATAAATATTATAAAAATCTTTAGGTAAAGCAAGGGGAAAAGTATAAAGTTTAAAGATTTAGGTTATCGTAGGTGGGGCAAACAAACTGGCCACGGTTTACATCATTACACATAAATTAGTAGGTACCTACTGTGTCAACATGTCTAGACAACAGTTACGATCCGAGCACATGAATTACATGATAACATGGCTTGATTATCGTTGTTGTTAAGACGTGCAGTTTATCAGACATAATAATTTTTCGTGGCCTCAAGCAGGTGCATGCCAGAGATTTATGCACAAATTCATGGTAGAACAAGAACAAAGTTAAAGGGATTTATGCACAAATTCATGGTATATTTCTTTTAATTTTAAATTTGTATATATAAAAGAATCAAATAAGATGATTGAGAAGCTTTAGGATAGAAATATTTTGACTTTGTAACATGATAATATAATGATGAATATTAAATCAAAAGGTAAAGTAATGGTTTTAATATAACATCCAAGGGTGAGATTGTGTCTTTTCACCTTTTAGTATAGTAGTAGACATATTCTACATTTCGTTGTGTTGACGTGATATGTATTGACCAGCTACGAGTTATATTATGTTTGAATGATGTTTTAAAAATGAATGTGAACGATAAAAATAAGATAAGATAATATGTTGTAAGATAAACTGCCTCGAGCATTCATAAATTATCGTAATTAAACAATAAATTACCAATTAGTTTTATATTCATTCTTTATATTTGACTAACATGCATGTTATTTTATTATAGTTTAAAACTAAGAGCGTCCATTAAGTTATTGATAATTCAAAATTATAAACTAACTTTTTTTCAGGGTAAACTTGATGCTAGGAAATGATTGACAAAAGGAAAATATTTATAGGTGATGCAACCAAATTAAAAAAAAAAGGTAGTTTGCTACATGATTGGCTATACTTATAAATTAATTTAATTAGTGAGTCTTTAATTATTTAAATTATAATTTGTTAATGATAAAAATTAAAATTAAAATTAATTTTTATTTGTGACATTTATTTCAGCTTTAGAAATTTCAAGCATCTGAATTTCATAATGTGAACCGTGATTTAACTTATTATAGAGGGGGGAATTACATAACATGTACTTTGTATGGATATGAATTATAAGAATGTTGAATCCTGATTTGTTTGTGAATTACAGCCAAGACATATAGTATATGACAAGATAGATAGGGAGAAACAACGAGTGAAATACAATGGACAGAGATTTGAGAGATATGCATAGCCCTCTATTCATAGAATAATCTTCTATTTATAGTGACATAATATACAAATTGTTAAGTTACATTTATATCATTGCTTTAGTGGGGACTATATAGGATATTATAGGTAATTTACATATGTAGGCCCAGAGCTGACTACTCAAACGCTCGGCTGGCTGGATGGGTGAGCCTTTAGTAAGCATCGTTGGTCGGCTGAGCTAGAAAGGCCCGTTAGTCAGCTTAGTCCTATAAGATTGTCGGTTAACTAGTCTTGATGTTGCTGATTGATTGGATTTTTCTTTGTAAAAGGTCCATAAGAATGACTCGATCAAGTAATTTATGTCGATCGTTTGGTCAAAGTTGAACGTCCCCTGACAATGAGCTCTTAATGTCAGGACAGAGCTACGTTATCAGAAAGATGGTGAATCATTATAATTTGATAGATAGTCTTCCTTAGACAAAGAGATCAGGAGGGATGGTTGAGACTTGTCCTGACAATGAGCTCTTAATGTCAGGACAGAGCTACATTATCAGAAAGTTGGTAAATCATTATAATTTGATAGATAGCCTTCCTTAGACAGAGATCAGGAGGGATGGTTGAGACTTGCCTTATTGATTTTTTATGATGTTTAGAGGAGGCAATTGAATGTCTCTAATAGAATTGTAGGACCATGAGGTTTAGCTTTCCCCTTGGGTTGGTTTCATCGCTTCCGGTCGAACCACTTAGATGCATTGCTTAAACTTGGTCTTGATGATTCAACTAGGATAATTGTTTTTTTTGAATCTTCTATCAATGAGACTTCCTTTGACATGTATTGTCATGCGTGCGCAGTCAGATTTCTTTAAGCTCCGTGCTAGCATTTTTTCCATATACAAAAAATACAAAAAAAATTTTTTTAAAGTTTATTTTGTATTGGTCCTATATATATATATATATATATATGTATATATATATATGTATGTATGTATGTATGTATGTATGTATGTATGTATGTATGTATAAAGTGCTAATGGATTATCAATTTAATTAAAGGAGGAATAGGAATGGTGGGAGGTTACATTCACTTTATCTCGAAGACTCGAACCAACTAACTTCCCACAAACGATGGCTCCCATTAATTTAAAGGAAGAATTACATTCCTAACACACAATTCTTATGTATTTACATATCTAACTCCTACGTTTTTATATTTACATACATAGCACTTTAATGTTTTAAACTTCTAAATAAAAAAAAGGTGTCACTATTAAGAAGTAGTAATAATGCTATTTTTTATATTTTATTAAGGATTTGAGTGCTATATTTATAAATATGAAAATTTTGATGAGAGATTTATAAATATATAAGAATTGTGTGCTAAGTATTTAAATGCCCATAAATTTTAAAAAATAAAAAATAAATTATTATTTTGTAATTACCAAATTTACCCCCAACAGTTCTCAATTACCACACCGTCTTCCTCATCCTGTTGCTTTAAACATATGCAAGTAACTGCTTCATTGGCCTCACTGTCATCTCTTAGCCGCGTCAAAGAGAAAGATTGCGAGCTTTCTTACAATGGCGGGCTTTTGAGGTGCCAACACTCCCTTTATCTCTCTCTATCTTCATTGGGAAGCTTTTGTTTTTTTTTGATTGGTGGATTATTGGATCTGGCGCGGTTGTTGGAATTGTCGGAGGTAAACAAAAAATCGATTTTGATGCCTTTTTTGTTCGATTTGGATGGTTTTGATGAATCGGTTTGAGTGTTTTGGTGATGGGATCCAGACTGAAGTTCGAGCTTGATTCCTTCCAACGGTTCTGGATCAGATTTTGAATTTTTCTGTGATCGAAGTTTGCATTTTTTGATGAAACTCTGTCATGTTCATCCGTCACCTGTTCTAATTCCTTGCTTTATTGTTTAAATCTAGCTTGCAGGGACTTGAATTTGCGGTTTTTTAATTGTTCATAAGGTTACGAATTTCAATCAGTCGTTACAATGCCTGGAATCATAACAGATGGATCTGAGATGATTCAGAGGAATGAGGAACCAACTGAGCTGAATTCTTCTCACATCAAAGAGAATAATTCCATCTCCAGATCTCCAAGACAAGTTCATGCAAGCTCGCAGAGCTCAGCTCTCGATCTGCCCATGGAAGATTGCCTAGATACATCCATCGATCGGCTTTACGATAATGTATGTGATATGGAGAGCTCCAGCAATGGTTCCCCTTCTCATCGGAGCTTCGGCTCCGATGGCGAGGAATCACGAATCGATTCAGAGCTTCGCCATCTTGTTGGTGGTGAGCTGAACTCTGCTACAGAAATCGTGGAAGAACGTGACGAAAATGAGGTCAAATCTCCGAACAATTTAGAAAACGTCGTAATTGAAAAGGAAAACGAAATCGAAGTCAAGAAATCTCCGAACAAATCATCCGCTTCATCGAAGAAGTCGAAGAAAGCTTTTCGATCCGAAATTGAATCCGATGCCTCCATGAAATCAAGCCCAAAACCTTCTGCAAGAACTACTCCCAAGAAACAGAGAGGTGGAATTGCTGATTCAGCTGAAGATGGACCCGATTTAGGGCCTTTCCTTCTCAAACATGCCAGAGAATTGATCTCTTCAGACAACCATAGAAGAGCTCTGAAGTATGCACTTCGTGCGGCCAAGGTGTTTGAGAAAATGTCTGAACCGAAACCTAACCTGGATTTAGTCATGAGCCTGCATGTCATAGCTGCAATTCAATGTAGTTTGGGTAAATACAATGAAGCGGTCGCCTTTCTTAAGAATTAGATAGAGATTCCTGATCTTGAAGCAGGACGAGAGCATGTCTTACAAAATTTTTGGGGTTTATGCAGTTGCGTGACACTTATGCCATGTTAGGCCAGCTTGGGAGCTCAATTCACTGTTACACTGCTAGTTTGGATATTCAAAAAGAGGTTTTGGGAGCCACAGATCCAAGAGTTGGAGAAACTTGCAGGTATGATTGCAAAAATGGCTTTTGATTTTTATGAAAAAACTTGTATTTAGATTCATAATTGTTCGTGTTTGGCTTGTCTGCTTGAGTGGATCATGCAATTTTGATCGTGACCGGCTTAGTAGGAGTGCCAAAAAGGTTTGATTTTTATGAAAAACTCATGATCGTGTTTGACTCTTTTGCTTAACGGATGAGTTGTGCTTGAATAAGATTTTCTCGCAGATCGCACTATCTTGATACATACAAGGGGCATTTTCATACGTACCACATAATTCTTATGTATTTACATATTTAACACCTAAACTTTCAAGGGAATTTACATACATAGCACAAGTTTCATATGTATTGACATCTCTCACCCATAAACTTTCATATTTACATACGTAGCATTTTGTTGCTCTAAACTTATGCTTGAAAAGGTGTATTTCACTTTTAAAAAATGATAATGTTATTTTTTTTTACGTGATATTAAAGATTTGAGTTTATCTGTAAATATGAAAGTTTAGCTGTGAGATATATAAATACATAAAATCTACGTGCTATGTTCGTAAATGCCCGAACTTTTAATACTTACATTGGTAACACTCCAATCCTTAACATCTCATAAAAAATATTAGTAATTTTTTAAAATTTAAGTGCATCTTTTTATGCATAGATTTATTAGCACCAAATTATTATAAATCTAAATGTCAAATTTTAGCCTTGGGATATGTAAATCCATAAGAATTGTGTGGTATGTAAAATTCTCTATGTATATACATGCAAGGTTCGTTTTACTAATGTAAAGTTAATGTTTTTACGTTGTTTTAATCTTAAAGGGCATTATACTATGCAAAGTTCAATTTTTCTTTTGGAAGATTTACATACAAACCAATCATCAATTCTTATGTATTTACATATCTAACACCTGCTCTTCAATTTTACATGCATGCCTTCCGCTTTTCAGAAGTCAAAATGGTGGTATTTTTTATGTGACATGAAAGATTTTGCTGATATAAATGTAAAAAATAAAGTTTTGATATTAGATATGCAAATATATAAGAATTAGGTGGTATTTATATAAATGCCCCAATGCCATCAACTCACTTGATAGTCATGAATCATGCTTTTTGTTTCATCTTCCACTCATAACAATCCAGTTAAAGACATGATTTTTTCTCAACCATTTTGCAAACTGGACCTCATTCATGCCTTGCAGGTACCTAGCGGAAGCACACGTACAAGCCCTGCAATTCGACGACGCCGAGAAGCTGTGCAGAATGGCGCTCGACATCCATAAGTCTAACGGCGAAGCTTCCTCCTTAGACGAAACCGCAGACAGGAGACTCATGGGCCTTATCTGCGAGACGAAGGGAGACCACGAAGCAGCTCTCGAGCATCTAATAATGGCGAGCATGTCTATGGTATCCAATGGCCAGGAGTCCGAAATGGCGTCCGTGGATTGCAGCATTGGAGACATCTACCTCTCCCTAGCTCGATACGATGAAGCAATAATGGCGTACCAGAAGGCGCTCTCCGTATTCAAATCATTGAAAGGAGAGAACCACCCGAATGTCGCTTCCGTATTCGTTCGCCTCGCCGATCTGTATAACAGGACGGGGAAATTCAGGGATTCCAGGTCTCACTGCGAGAATGCGCTGAGAATCTACGGGAAACCGATGGCCGGAACTTCGCCGGAGGAGATCGCCGGCGGGCTCGCCGATGTTTCTGCGATATACGAATCTATGAACGAGCATGAACAGGCTCTGAAACTGCTTCAAAAGGCTTTGAAGCTGTACAACAATGGTGCAGGGCAGCAGAGCAGCGTTGCAGGAATTGAGGCTCAAATTGGCGTTTTGCATTATATTTTGGGAAATTACAGCGCTTCTTATTCAGCCTTCAAGAGTGCAATTTTAAAGTTGAGAGCTTGTGGGGAGAAGAAGTCTGTGTTCTTCGGCATTGCTTTGAATCAAATGGGGATAGTTTGTGTGCAGAGATTTGATTTAAATGAGGCTGCCGAGTTGTTTGAGGAGGCGAGAGGTGTTTTCGATCTGGAATATGGACCACATCATCCCGAAACACTCGGAGTTTATAGCAATCTCGCCGGAACTTATGATGCCATGGGAAGGTGAGAAATTCTAATCTTAATGTTGGATGTTTATGATTAGTTTTTTTTGCAATGTATATTGCTTTTTTTCAATTTGACATACTAAGGGTTTGTTTAGGGCGGTTGTATCTTTTTGTAAATGTGATTGTAAAAGTATGGTGAGGAAAATAATTACTTAAGATACGTTTGAGGCAGCGATGTAGTGGTGCTGCAACACATTTTTTTGTTTTTGGCAAAAGCCTTTTGACTGTTCTTTCAAAAAACTGCGGCAAAAATTTGTGTTTGGCAACATAACATGACAAAGTGTGGTGGCTGTTAGAAAACTAAGGTCTTATATTTTGAAGAAAAAAGAATTTTGTAATAGTTATCGCAGTTTTTTAAATAACAATTTTTTTTTTCAAACAGTTAGAGCTGCTTCAAATATACCCTTAGAAAGTTGTAGTGAGAATCATATATATCTATTTTTATTTTCAAAAAAACATACAAAAGTTTTCTTACAATCACAATAATTTGGCAAATATAGTTGCAAAAACAACTTTTCATCACAAAATTTATAGAAAGTAGTAAAAAAACAGTTTCACAAATATATCTGTTGTGCGGTTTAAAATAGAAAATAGATAGAAAGTTATCCCAAACAGATCCTAAGTTACTTTCGTTTTATAGAAAAATAGGTGGCTCTTTTTCACATGCTTGTTTATGCTTGTCTTTTTATTAAAGTTTTCTTTGCTCATCCACTTTACATATTAAAAGAGTCAATTTGATGATTATGTTACTTTAAATTTTGCTTTCATAATTATATTTGTTTTACAAAATTATAACATAACTTTTTATACAACAGTTCTTTCTTCAAACAGTTGCAGCTACTCCAAATAGACTCTTAGAAAGCTGTAGTGAGAACCATATATATTTATTTTTTTCAAAATTCATACAAAATTTTTCTTACAACAACAATATTTTGACATCTATGACTGTAAAAACAACTTTACATTACAAACTTTATAGAAAATAGTAAGAAAACAGTTTCACAAATAGAACTGTGATGACGGTCTAAAATAGCAAGCAGATAGAAAGTTATCTCAAATAGATCCCAAGTTGCTTGCGTTATAATAGAATTTTATGCAAAAGTTATGGCTTTTCTTCACATGCTTGGTTATGCATAATGCATGTCTATCCAAACTCCATATGATGTCTTTTTATTAAAGTTTTCTTTGCTCATCCACTTTACTTATTAAATGAATCAATTTGATGATTATGCTACTTTACATTTTCCTTTCATAATTACATTTTCTTACAGAATTATAACATAGATCACTTTGCCAGATTTGGTTTGTCTTGTAATTATGTCTATTGTATCCTCTTATTGAATTTTATGGAAGAAAAAGTAATTATAACTTAGCTATTAAGGTGCTATTGCTCCTAAAAATATTGTGGCATTTATATACATACCACCCAATTCTTATGTATTTACATATCTAACACCTAAACTTTGCTCTTTACTTTTATACCAACTAAATCTTTCATAGCATATAAAAGTATCATTCTTTTAACTTTTAAACAACAAAGTGCAACTTTTCATGTATAGGTAAAATGACATATATGTAAAAATTAAAGTTTAAGCGTTCGATATGTAAATACGTGGGAATTGAGGGGTTGCATGTGAAGCTTCTTAAAGAAAATCAATGCATTATACATTGAAATAAGATTAGCATCTATAAGATTCGTAAAGCTGATCCCAAATAATTATGATGAAGTCTATGTTGATGAAGTTAATAATGATATTTTTCGCAATCTCACAACACTTTTTCTAAATTTACGCAGGTTGAATGAAGCCATCGAGCTTTTAGAGCACGTCGTGAATGTTCGAGAGGTTAAGCTTGGAACTGCTAACCCGGATGTCGACGACGAGAAGAGGAGATTGGCCGAGTTGTTGAAAGAAGCCGGCCGAGTCCGGAACAGGAGAGTCAAGTCATTGGAGCATCTCCTTGATGCCAACTCTCACATGAAAATCAAGTAATGATAAATTTGCAGCATAAATTTTAGCAGATCTTTCTTCATTGAAACATTCAATTCAGATTGAAAAGATGGGAGAAGATGGTAGCTTATTATTGATTGCAGATTTACTTTTATGGAAATTTATATGCATACCATACAATTCCTATGTATTTGCATATCTCACGCCTGAACTTTCATATTTACGTGCATAACATTTTGGTGTTTTAAATCTATGCATGAAAATATCCATCCATTTCATTTTTTGAAGAGCGGTAATAGTGTTATTTTTGATGTGATATTAAATATTTATGTGCTATATGTGTAAATATGAAAGTTTAGGTGTGAGATATGTAAATACATAAGAATTGTGTGGTAGGAATGTAAATGCTCTTTTTCTTAATAGATTATAGGAATTGTGAAATTTGTTTCCTATTAACGTTATGGAGAACAAGCGGGCTCCTGCTTTGTGCATTGCAAACTGTTGCTGTATTTTGAATTATTCAGTTTTGTTTAAGCTGTTTCATCCTCATTCTTTCAAGGATTTGCAGTTAGGCCCCCAAGTAATGGAAGGTTTTCTTCCGTTAGAAATGGCATCTCCAGCTGGTGAGTTATAAAAGGTTTCATGGCTAGTTTCTTTCATAATTGGGACATTTACATACGTACCACCCAATTCTTATGTATTTACATATCTAACATCTAAAATTTACTTTTTACACATTTATACCACCCAAATCTTTCATATCACGTAAAAAACATCACCATTTTAACTTTTAAAAAGCTAAATACACGCGTATATGTAAAATTTAAAGTTTAGGTGTTAGATATGTAAATACATAGAATTTAAGCGGAGTATGTAAATCTTCCTTCATCGTTTGACTTCATAGATGACTGTCATATTATTAGTTGGTTATAACTATTGGGGCATTTACATACATACCACGCAATTCTCATATGTATTTGCATTTTAAACACCTGAACTTTCATATTTACATGCTAACACTTCAGTGTTTAATATAAACTAAAAACTATCACTATTGAATGATTGATATCTTTTTAAAAATGAAAAATATCTTTTTTTATGGATATATTTATGACACTAAAATGTTATGAGTATAAATATCAAATTTTAGGTGTTCCGCATGTAATTACAAAGGAAATTGTAATATATATGTAAATTTCCCTGAAATATTTTTCTATTTTGTAATAACTTTGGTGCTGAGATTCGAGAATTACTTTTTTATAATTAAATATGTTAATTATTGTTTATTTTTTTTCTTAAAATGTATAATTTCATAATAGCCCTTAAATAAATTGCTTTTTCTATGGTAATTTTATAGCCACTTCTATAGATAATTGAAATCTATAACTCTTTGTAAAATCACAAACAAAACTTTAAGAAAAGTAGGTGTTTTGTGCAAATTATGGGAATTTTAAATTTCTAAGCTGTAAACATGCAAAAACATTTTTAATTTTGTGCAAATTATGGGAATTTTAAATTTCTAAGCTGCAAACATGCAAAAACATTTTTAATTGAGTGTGTTTGTTTCGGTGTTTCGATCTGATTTTCGAACAGAAACGAAGTCTTTCATTGTAATGGTAAAAAGGTGAATGAAAAGTCATTGAATTTCAATTTTTGCATGCATGGCACCTCCCCTATGCACTGTGGTAATATGTAAAAGATATGTGTGTGTTTGGGGCAGCTTGTGCTTATCCAGATAAGCCGCTTATCTGAAAATGTAGACCGCGGGGTGTGATCTGCGTTCGGCTTTTAGTGTAAAAAATCAACTGCATTTTCGGATAAGATGCTCAAATACAATTTTCAAAAGATGAGACGACATTTTCAAAAACATCTCCGCAACGGATAAGCTGCCCCAAACGGAGTCATAAATAGGCAATGATTAAGGAAGCTTATTTTATATAAATAGGCAATGTTTATTTGTAAAAGAACTCAGTGGCATAATGGTAAATGATATCGAGCAATATGATATTGCAATGAAGTGATGATGATGGAAATGCATATGATGATTCGGTGAAGACTGATCTTAAATACTTGAAACTTCTCATGAAGATTTTGCTATCGTTTGGTTTCATAACAGTAGTGTTTCTGTTTTTGTTGTTGGAGTTGTACTTGTTTTGATAAGGTTGCGGTAATTTGGAAGATAAATTGTTCTACTGTAGGACATATTTGTCACAAAACTCATGGGTCTGACATTTTTTGTGCAGCTTATGTTGAAGATGTTATTCTTAACGCATGTTTGTGTGACTATCTATGTCATTACAAAAATTAGACTTCTATTATCCTTCTCTATGTTGCTGTGCATCCCATGATAAATGCGTTTTGAGTGAAAAGTACCCGAGTCATAATCAACCCCAAATTTCAAGTATTTGTCCATTTTGATAATTAATTTATCATACATTTTACTTAAATAATTTTTCAAAAAAATAATTATATAAAATGCAGCATTTTCTTTATTCTACAATTAAATTTAATTCCATATTCCTGCTTATTCATGAAATACAATTAAAAAATAAAATTACATACTTTGAAAAATACTTATGAATTATATAAAATTTTAACAGGGTGTGATTATAGATATTTGTTCACTGACAACACTTTCAAAACTGTATTTTTCAAATAGATCAATTGCTTTTGAAACACCAACTTTTGAACAATAGCTTTTAAACTGAGATTTTATACAATCGTAACCGAAACTGAAAAATACTTATGAATTATATAAAATTTTAACAGAGTGTGATTACAGATATTTGTTCACTGACAACACTTTCAAAATTGTATTTTTCAAATAAATCAATTGCTATTGAAACACCAACTTTTGAACAATAGATTTTTCACAATAGCTTTTAAACTGAGATTTTATACAATCATAACCGAAATAAATATATTCTAAATGTCACGCAAAACAAAATGTT